GCAGCTTTCACCCAAGGTCGTAGGCTTCCACCGGCTAAACCGGGTGAGGTTGGTGCTCTGTAAAGCGCATGCGCAAATCTGGCTTTTCGTAATCTGAAAATACAGGAGATTCCACTCCGCCACTAATATTCTAATATACGATAGCAATTTTTTCCACGTGTAGTATAGAAATTTGTAAGAAGATACATAATGCGGTTATAATAAAATATTGTGCGATTATTTTCATATAATTAAAATTAATATTTATTTATTTTTTAAAGAATACGAGGGAAGCGGCGCTTCCAACGCTTCTAATGACAGCACGCCACTGATGAGAAGTATAGCAACAGAATAAAATTAATCCAAGGCCAATGGATCAATAGAAACAGACCAAGAAACCCTTGGTGTCCTTGGAACAAGGATTTTTATAAGGTTTTTTCCCTTCAATTATGCATCCTGATTAGTCTTGGTCTCCATCCTCACTTCCAAACTAGCATCTTATCTGTTTCCAGGAGTAATATGAAATCAACGTGGGCCACAGAAAAGGTCAATGCCAATGTTTAATTCGACACCAAGTTCTATTCCAACCAGAGATGTTTACTGATTTTGGGAATTACATTGTTTAATTAAGTCAAGAGTTGTGTACTCCTAATTGACAATTATTATTCCAAAATGCCAATAATATGAAATTCTAATGGCAAACAAATTATTAAAAGAAACTTTTTTTCATTTCATTTCAGATTCTTTGTTTTAAGTAAAAGTTTTCAATGAGGGTTCAGATCATGACCAGGACCTCACAAAAGAAAATATTTTGCAATTGAATAGTTCTTGCATTTAACTACTCCCATCCTTAGGTGCAATCACTTTGAATTAAATCCAGTAATAAAATTTTTGTGTGTACTAGTATGTAGTGATTTTACTTAAAAAAAATTAATCTAACTGTATGACATTTATAGGATAAAGTTTAAAAATAAAAAAGTAAAACAGAAAAAAATACTAAAACCTGTTCAAAATGGAAACCTGCCAAAACAGAAAAATAATTTAGTTCCATATGATTCTGATTTACACAGGTTGTATTGTATATTAATTATATAATATTGTTGCATAATGATTTCTAAGTATATTATCTACATTTCTAAATATTTAAAATATGCACCAAATCTTTCAGCAATAAATAAAATCAAATGCATATGCATTTTAATGAAACATCTTGATTAAATTTAGTAATATAATACTAATAAAAACATTACATCAATGTTTTTATGAAAATAAAACATGGAGATTTTTATGAAAGTAAAAGATTAAACTAATTCACTTACTTAAATTGACCAAAATATTGATGGAGTGTACCTTGTTGCAAACCACAAATAAGATGAAAAACATTTTGACATTTCTTGATAATACAATATATAGTTGCACCCATTAATTCACAATATACACATTTCTGTAAAATGAAACAAAATTGTAAAATCAAAACAAAATGGATTAACATAAAAATAACAACCCAACTCAAAATATTTACAATTCCCAAACAAAGTTCACTAGTATTTAAACAAATAAATTACTATATGTAAGTTTTATAGGAACTATATTCTCACAGTGCAGGCATGTCTACTCTGTCTAATTAATAAAAAATTCAGCCAATGATTCAAATGGATCTTGATTCAGCTTACTTATTTAAAAATACAGTAGAGTCCTGGAAACTCAACTCTTAGTAACTCAACATTTGATAAAGNCATTTCTAAATATTTAAAATATGCACCAAATCTTTCAGCAATAAATAAAATCAAATGCATATGCATTTTAATGAAACATCTTGATTAAATTTAGTAATATAATACTAATAAAAACATTACATCAATGTTTTTATGAAAATAAAACATGGAGATTTTTATGAAAGTAAAAGATTAAACTAATTCACTTACTTAAATTGACCAAAATATTGATGGAGTGTACCTTGTTGCAAACCACAAATAAGATGAAAAACATTTTGACATTTCTTGATAATACAATATATAGTTGCACCCATTAATTCACAATATACACATTTCTGTAAAATGAAACAAAATTGTAAAATCAAAACAAAATGGATTAACATAAAAATAACAACCCAACTCAAAATATTTACAATTCCCAAACAAAGTTCACTAGTATTTAAACAAATAAATTACTATATGTAAGTTTTATAGGAACTATATTCTCACAGTGCAGGCATGTCTGCTCTGTCTAATTAATAAAAAATTCAGCCAATGATTCAAATGGATCTTGATTCAGCTTACTTATTTAAAAATACAGTAGAGTCCTGGAAACTCAACTCTTAGTAACTCAACATTTGATAAAGCTCATTGCATTATATATACATATACCGTATTTACTCGAATATAAGACGACCTCATGTATAAAAAGATGTATAGGAAGATGTGTGACTTTAAAGATCACAATAAAGAAAATTAGATTTAGTAATACAATTCTAATTTTATTTTATGTAATCACAAGTAAAATATCAAATGAACAAAAATGCACACATTGTCCTACAAAAATTACCAGCATTTTAAACTTTAATGAAATATCTTGTAAAATCCACAACATAATTTGTTCATGTAAACTGGACAATTGGAAACCTTTTCTCACTAATTTTTAACAGTCAAATAATCCGCTTTCCATTGATTACACTTATGATTTTCTATGAATTCTGATTTCTGAATAATAATCTGTTTTCGCATTGGAATGGAGTAAATCTTATATTGTGCTCCCGTGTGTTTTTGGAATTTCAATCTGGAATTCAATTCACATGCTTTGCTTCTCCTATTGCTATTCATCTTTACTTCCGATAATACACAAGAACAATTCAAACAACCCAGATAAAATACTTATGTTTTTAAATACCAGAGGGTAAGCATTCAGTAAAAAATGTGAATACACGGTTCACAAAAGTTATTTGCAAAAATGCAAAGAATTTTTCGCTTGCACATATAAGATGAACTAGGAATTTGAAGCTGTGATAAATGAGTAAAAACCTCCTCTTATATCCAAGTAAATATGGTATACACATATACTTTATGTAACAACACCAGGATCAAATAAGTTATCATTCTTCACTGGCAGCATTTGATAATTGCATCAATTCCATGTGCAAACAAAGAATATAACCCTTTTTCCAAAATGTCAATGCAGAACACTATGATGCAAATATCACTAACTCGGCTTAATAGCTTAAATAGCTTGAAAGCTGATAAATTTCTAATAGTTATCAATTATCTACATAATAAGGTAGTTTTAGAGAATTATGAACTTTTCAGGTAAGATATGTAATGCAATAATTGTCATCTCAGTCAATTATAGAGACTCTTACAATTTTATATTGTCATAAAGTAAATTTATAGGATAAAGTTTAAAAATAAAAAAGTAAAACAGAAAAAAATACTAAAACCTGTTCAAAATGGAAACCTGCCAAAACAGAAAAATAATTTAGTTCAATATGATTCTGATTTACACAGTTGTATTGTATATTAATTATATAATATTGTTGCATAATGATTTCTAAGTATATTATCTACATTTCTAAATATTTATTTTATCTTGAGACATTGAAATAACTTAATTGAATCTCATTATTTTGAAAAAAGGTATAGACAAAAGTTGTAGGATATCAAGGGGCCAATCAATTGGTGACCTCATATGTGACCTTGACCTTGACCTTCGGGGTCATTTGGAGTTCAAGTTTGTTTTTTCAATGGGAACACATCTTTTTGACCCCGGAAATGGAAAGAGCAGGAAATTTCACAACCGGATGCACCTTTGACCTTATTGTCTAGGTCAGGGGTGGCCAACAGTTTTTGCCCCTAAGCCAAATTGGAAAGAAAACTTTTTCACTAGCAGAACCAGAGGCTGCCCTAGGAAGATTTTGAGGTGGTGGGAGATCTCTTGTGGTGTCACCCCATAGAGACTAAATTGTAGATAGAGATTACAGATATATTTTTTTACATTATTATGCTTTATTAACGTTCTACGCTGTACTTAAGAGATTTGTAATGGAGGGTTAACTCTAACCGGACAGCGAGTTATTGACCTTTTTTTTCCGTAGCTAATATTGAAAGATTAATCACAGGCCATATAAATCCATTACACAGGCCACATCTGGCCCGCAGGCCATATGTTGGCCATGCCTGGTCTAGGTCAAAGGTCAAGATTATTTTATGGTTAAAATTATAAGCTTTTTCTAATGGGAAACCATACTTTTTATTACTGGAATAGGCAGGGATGTAAAAGTTACATTTACATGGAAACAACAGGAAATTTTACAATCAGCCATGAACTTGAGTATTTCAAATTTGACCTCTAAAGGTCATCTCAAGCATGATAATTGTAAGCGTGGCTCAATAAATGCATTAAAGTGAAAGGGCATCATTTTGAACATTTATTATAAACTTTTCCCCCAAAACCAACATCTCAAATGATGGTAAGAATTAAAGTGACTCACCGAAAACAAGCACCATGATATGAGAAGCAAGAAGATTCACTGAAAATAAGCACTTCAAAGGGAGCAGAAAAATCCACATCATTACTCATTGGTAGTGCTAAAAGTATTGAACGCTTTTAAAATTCAAAGTAATAAGATCATGAAAAAATGTAACTTTTACCTCCCTGCCTATTCCAGTAATAAAAAGTATGGTTTCCCATTAGAAACAGCTTATAATTTTAACCTTAAAATAATCTTGCTTGACCTTTGACCTAGACAATAAGGTCAAAGGTACATCGGTTGCGAAATTTCCTGCTCTTTCCATTTCCGGGGTCAAAAATATGTGTTCCCATTGAAAAAAACAGACTTGACCTACAAATGACCTTGAAGGTCAAGGTCAAGTTGAGGTCGCCAATTGATTGGCCCCTCGACACCCTACAACTTTTGTCTATACCAAAATAATAAGATCCAATTAAGTTATTTCAATGTCTCAAGATAAAAAATACACCCTACTGTATATACATTTAAAACTATAAATACAGTTTAACTGTCCAATGTTTTGTTTTATTTATGCACAGTAACATTACTTCTGCTTTTTACACTACAAAATCAAATCTAAAGTTGACATTGTTACATTATTTATCTGTATTTCATTAATTTGATTTATTTGCTTCATTTTTTAATTCTGTTACTTGTAAAGAAATTCACTTATATTAATTAAAATGAAATTCATATAAAATTTAAAATATTAAGTAACTTTTAAGTTGGAAGACAATAGTAAAATAAATCTCTGTGTAATATTTTCCAAACAGTAATCAAATGAATGAAAAACAATTTCAGCATTCTATTAGATGATCTGACCATTACAATCCATCAAGTCTTTACTACATAAAGAAGAACATCTTTTGTTTGAATGAATTAGCTGTTGAAGGATAAGATAAAAATTTTTTATCATATTACTTCCGTTTTTTTATTTATTAAATGATATAAATAAAATAAATAATAATAATAATAATAACTCTCCCGTGGTCACCACCTGGTCATGGTGGGAAAGCCCAGTAATTTTACTGATTCATAGAGCAATGTAGCCTGGAGCACAAGCTCCTAGTAGGGACACCCATGCCAGTAAGGTCTATGGGGAGAAATGAAGCTAAAAGTGACCACACCCACATTCTGTGGAGATATTTATCATGGTAGTAACCAGATCAAAGTGTGATACCAGCTCAGACGTCGCCCAGATTAACAAAGTCCACATTTGCGGGTTAGGCAGAGACTCGTGCTCGAAAAATAGACCAGTCTCCTTGGTTACCGGTGGCTAAAGCAGCACCGGCCCAAGCATGGCTACTGCAATTCCCTCAACAGATGTAAGGAATCAACCTAGCCTTGGTGTTTCTGTGGCAATGCATCCACAGACCACAAAGGCAGAAAAACCACACCAACAGATGAAATGGACAATAGAAATGAACGAGTTTATCATCTGTACTTACTACACCATCACAAGACTCGAAACAAACATGACACATACAGACAACAACTACACCATAGATTCACACAACAATATCCTCACCTCACTGTCACCAAACAAAGAGTTGATCAAAAAAGAACAATTATACATAATAATCTTATCCCACAAACAACACTTGAACTTATCAAACAACAAGTTGTTGATGAAATACATCAACAGACAGAAACATTTAACATTAATGAAGATCATGTAACCTGCCAGGATAATCCAGCACTAATAATAATAAGCACTAATAATAGCACAAACACAACAACTATCACTAATGATACTACAGACACTTCCTCATCCACCACTGATAACAGAGACATAGATTTAGTTAATATGCTCTCACTTATATTTCAGGAAACACTCACTAAGTATACAGGTACAGATCCCATACAAAGACCACAAATACCAAAAATCAATACATGAAAGTTAGTAGGAAAAACACTAAATTAAATGGATATAGTGTGGTAGTAAGTGAATGTTCACTTACTACAACACCTACATCCATCTAATTTGATCCAGCCTGGCAGAGAAGAATAGAAACACAAATAAATGACATTAGATAGCGATTAGGCAGGCTGACACAATACACTAAAAACAACATAACATCCAAATTAAAGAAACAACTCAAAAACATTTTCAAGAAAATCAAAACACACACAAAACATGAACATCACAACACATACAGAATACATTGATATACTAAAAAAAACTTGCAGCCAAAGCACATAGACTCAATTGATACACAACATGTACATTATGAAAACAACAAAATAAGTTATTTACAAACTATGAAAATCTCTTTTACAGACAAATTAGTACCAAAACAAACACTGATACACAGCACAGTGGCACACCAACAGAAGAAGAATTCACAACTTATTGGTCTTCTCTTTGGTCCAGTGCTGTTATACACAATGCTGATGCAAGCTGGATCAAAGAGAAGAACAAAAACTTGCACAACATACCAACTATGCCCTGTGCTGAAATAAACGTACACAGCATCTGATATGCTGTTAACAGAACACACAACTGGAAGACCTGGTGTAGACAACATTCACAATTTCTGGTACAAAAAGTT